ATGCCAAGTTTGCTCTTCCAAACCCTAATTTCCATCTGTTCTCATTTTTGGACCCATGCTTGGTTCCCTGGCATATTGAGTTTGTGATGGCCTGCCGGCATGGGGAAGGGCTGCCGACCATGGATTTGGCCTTGACCGGCCACCCACTAATGGCCGAACAGGACACCTTGTTTTAGGCCAGATATTTATTTCAGTATCTTTTGAGCCAGCTGTTTTTCACTGAAGCCATTCCTCCATACACATGGAGGGATGAAGGGCCATTTCAAGCTTGTCAAGCAAGCTTTGCATTGCATTTCTCTATAAGAGAGAAAGGTCCCTCTTCCTTTCCAGAGAGTGGACAGAATTTTAGAGACAAAATTTTCTGTTCTTCTGGAATTCTCGGCACTTCCTCTCTCTATATATTGTTGCTCCATAGTGTCCCAAAGTGTGTTTCTCTTCACTTTTGCACTACAACACCTAGCCAACTACTCATCTCGTCCTTGAGCCGAAGTAAGGGTATGGTTTGAAGAGTGGTTGGCTGGATTAAACCAACTCTTTGTACTCTTCAGCCGAAGTAAGGGTATGGCTGAAAAGTGGTTGGCTGGATTAAACCGACTCTTTGTACTCTTCAGCCGGAGTAAGGGTATGGCTGAAGAGTAGATTGGCTGGCTTTTAACTCTTTTTACTCCTCAGCCGAAGTAATTATGTCGGCCAAGGAGTGGTTGGCTAGTAAGCGTAGTTAGATTGACCAGCTAAAACCGAGATAACAGTTGAAAGTAAAAAGATCATGGAAAAATCATAACAAGTACAACGTACAGATCAACCGAAGTAAGAGTTCAAGGAAATTTTCATTAAACAAAAAAACTACAACAGAGAGGCCACAACACGGTTACAAGTTTGAAAACAAAAGAAAAGCAAAAAGACAATCTGTTGAAAAGATCATCAATTTCGGCATCAAACGCAGCATCAGCATCAACACGAAGACCGGTTTCAGGCGGGAGCTCGCTCTCGGTCACAAGGGTGGTTTTGGTCGGAACCACGGTTTCACCTGGTAGTTCAATAGACAGGTCTTCCACCGTGGGCTCCAACCGAACTGACTGGTCTACATTGACAACCGGAGTGTCCTCAGAGGCAGAGTCTTCGTCAGAGTCTGAGCCTTCAAGAAATTGCTGCTGAATGGCATCAGCATACTCCACTAGGGAGTTCGGTATGAAGTAGGTTGGAGGGTTGAAGACCTCGGTCTGTGGATCGTGACCAAGCTTCTCAACAGCTACCCTCCAGCCGCATATAAAGAAGAGTTCCTTGGTGGCTTCGCACTGCTGAGTATAAGCATCCTCTGCCTTCTTGAAGCCTTGCTTTTCGGTTCCTTTTGCGCTCTCCTTCAGCTAGGTTATCTCGGTATCTTTCTTCTTTTCAAGCTTCACCAGCTCGCGCAGATACTTATCCTTTAGCTCAATGGCGGCCTTCAGTTTTTCTGCTTCGGCCGAACTAACCAGTCCGGCCAGTCGGCCGTTCTCAGATCGTAGCTCGGCCATTTGCTTTCTGGCCTCCTCTAGCTCGGCCGTCTTCGCTTCGGCTTCTGTCACGGCTTGTCTTGTTGTTTTCCTGAGCTCTAACACTTTCCTGTGAGTGATGTTTTTCTGAATGGCCTAACAAAACATAGACTTCCATTGAGCTGAAGTGAAAGTTAGAAAAATTAGACAGAAAAACAGACAGAGCTACTTACCAGGATCATGGATTTTGTTGAAGACCGGATGGCCTTCAGTTCAGTGTTTAGTTGCTTTTGGTGGTGCTCCATATCTTTGGAGAGGCACACACTCTTGGCCAGGTTGAAGGCCAACTGGTGATCATTATCAACAACAACCGAGTCAGAGTCTTGGATATCTCGGTTGTTGAAGGCCTTCAAGAAATTGCTGTTGAATGGCATCAGCATACTCCACTAGGGAGTTCGGTATGAAGTAGGTTGGAGGGTTGAAGACCTCGGTCTGTGGATCGTGACCAAGCTTCTCAACAGCTACCCTCCAGCCGCACATAAAGAAGAGTTCCTTGGTGGCTTCGCACTGCTGAGTATAAGCATCCTCTGCCTTCTTGAAGCCTTGCTTTTCGGCTCCTTTTGCGCTCTCCTTCAGCTAGGTTATCTCGGTATCTTTCTTCTTTTCAAGCTTCACCAGCTCGCGCAGATACTTATCCTTTAGCTCAATGGCGGCCTTCAGTTTTTCTGCTTCGGCCGAACTAACCAGTCCGGCCAGTCGGCCGTTCTCAGATCGTAGCTCGGCCATTTGCTTTCTGGCCTCCTCTAGCTCGGCCGTCTTCGCTTCGGCTTCTGCCACGGCTTGCCTTGTTGTTTTCCTGAGCTCTAACACTTTCCTGTGAGTGATGTTGTTTTTCTGAATGGCCTGACAAAACATAGACTTCCCTTGAGCTGAAGTGAAAGTTAGAAAAATTAGACAGAAAAACGAACAGAGCTACTTACCAGGATCATGGATTTTGTTGAAGACCGGATGGCCTTCAGTTCAGTGTTTAGTTGTTTTTGGTGGTGCTCCATATCTTTGGGGAGGCACACACTCTTGGCCAGGTTGAAGGCCAACTGGTGATCATTATCAACAACAACCGAGTCAGAGTCTTGGATATCTCGGTTGTTGAAGGTAAGTTTTGGTACCCAGCTAGTGGTAGTTCGGTAAGAAGGCTCCGGTTGGGGGCTCGGTGGCGGGCTCGGTGGAAGGGCAGTTTCTTCTTCATCAACCAAACGTTGTTCAGTTTCGGTAGTCCGGGCGCACTTGGTTCGGCGGGATGAGAACGGTTGTTGAGTAGGAAGGGTCACCACCATTTCTTGGGTTTGACTTGATGGTGGTACTTCGGCCCTGTTGGTCTCGGTCAAGAGGGCCCTGACTCTGTTTCTTTTAGCCATTTCTTCTTCAACGGTTAGGGGGATTAGTCTGATTTCTGGCAAGGTTGGGTCCGATTCAGGGGCCTCCTCTAGCAGAAAATCGGTCACTCTCGCTTTTCGGCGACCGCTGTATCTATAGGTCGGCTCGAATTTGAGCAACTTGGCCCAACTACGTTCTGGATACAGTAGTGTGGCGCGCAAAGTCGCTAGGTTTGGGTAGCTATATAAAGAATGAAGGTGGGCAGAATCTGCGAAAGAAGAACTGTTAGTCCGGCTGAAAGATTAAAAAACCGAAATATAAAATAGCACACAAGAAAACTGAAGTAAATTTACCAGGTTCTCCTTTTTTTCCAGTTTATACGTCGGCCAGGAATCTGGGCTTGATGATCCTCAAAATTCCCAGACACCCAGAAAAAATCGTCGTTTTTAAGTCCTTATCCGATGTGTTTTTTATTATTTTCTCACGACGGCGGCATATTCTGAGGTAGTATACCCAGCCGTCTTCCTTCGAACCAATGGAGTATTGGTGAAAGATTTCGGCCAGACCAAGGTTGAGACCGACTTGCCGGTTTAGTTCGGCTATTCCCATTATTATGCGGTATGAATTGGTGGATAGTTGGGTAGGGCATAGTCTAATTTGCCTAAGAAACTCGCAAATTAAAGGTTGGACTGGAAATCGTAGTCCGGTTTCGATTATGAATAAGAGGGTGAAGGGGACAAAGCCTTCATTACCCCAAGGAATGACATCCTTTTCGGCTAAAATCAGGTGAACGTCATCAGGTATATTGTAGTCTTTTCTGAATTCGGCTAGGCCGCCCGGAGTGTCTACTAGATACATATACTTCCCCATTTATTGTGTAAGTTATTAATAAATTAGTTCGGTCGGAAGAATGTGCTCAGTAGCTCGGTTGAGCGCGCAGAAGAGTGTCTAGGCAACCTAAATCTGCAAAGTGGAAAACAAAGGTGTTAAGCACAGATCGCAGACCGTGCTACAAAATCAAAGCAAAGATAAAAAGTCCTACTTCGGCCTATGGGGGATGCTGTATCTCGATTCAGCAAAATGCTTGGTAGCTCGGATTGAGCATAGGGTTCGCGAGATCGGTTTTTGTATGAGGTTGGTTATCTCGGTTTGAACTATGGGTTTTGTTACTTCGGTTGAGCCTCTAGGGGCAGCTTTCTGAGTTTGGTTTAGAAACTAAGAAAGCTGGCTTAACCCCAAAGGCTTAGCTCGGTTAAAGGCCGAGGTTCCTAGTTTACTGAGTTCAAACTTCGTTCGGTGAGCTTATTTCAGCTAAAGTGAATCAGGAGTTGGTAACTTACTGAAACTACTGTTATTTCTATGAGTTCTAGTTCGGTTATTGTCTGAATTGATTTACATATATAGCACAAACAGTGTCCTAGTTCGGTTGAGACAAGTTTCTGGATCAAAACTACGTTCTATATGTTGCTTCATGATTTTCATAGTTTTCTTATGAAGATTTTTTCTTGGTCAATAGGATTATACAAGAAGGTTTATTTCTTTCCCGTACAATTTGGATTCACTTTTTTGTTCTAGTGAGATCGCTAGTAGGGCACCTTCTTGTAACAATTTGTAAACACTATACAGTAATACAAATAAAATAATAATATTTATTTATACAAAATGATATGAAAAATTTATATCTATTCATTAAAATAAAATAAAAAAACTCATCATAGTAGCTTATTATTTCAAATGTGCCATTTTCATATCATTCTTAGATATTTTTTGTATAAAATTTTTATTTGCAACTCATTTTTCATAATTCTAAAAATACTATTCTAAAACAGAGTCAGTAGGAACGTGACATGAAAGAAATTCATACTCCAAAGTCTCCGAAGAAAGATTAGTCAGAATTTAACATCTTCAAACAGTCTAGCAGATTTAGTACTCAGAGATGACATCGAAAGGTTCTCCGAATTGAGAGCAAGATGTCTAGATAGCGAGACAATTTTCAAAGAGCTCAAGATGATGTATGCAAATTATTACCATGCAAAATAATATATATCCAGAAGAATTATCGTAAAAATATATTTATAGATCATATTCATTTTAAATATAACTTACATCACATCAATTCTAAATTTACGCCATTGATCTCTCTTTTAAAAGGACTTTTAAGACAAAAAAAATTCTAAGTAGATAGCATTTTTCTATACAAATAACCGTGTATTCCACGTATTACAATTTACTATTAAGCCACTATTGTTACAACATTAATACATTATTATCATCACATATTAACTATGGTTCCAAACAAAGTTGACGAGGAAGGTAAGCTTGTGAAAGCTAAGGTTCATACATTTCCTCTTCCAAACCTTAAAAACTATTATTAGTTTGTTTTTTTGGTTCATATCAGCAAAGATTCAGCAAAGGAATCCAACTGAACTTGGACATCATCTTCTGCCTTGAGAAGTTGTAGGTACTCCTCATAGAGCTTCTCTAGAGTGTGATCAGACATTGGCAACAATTGAGAATGGCATTCGAGGTCCGAACCGTTGACTAGATCGCGATCTTGATGATCATCACCAACAAGAAAGCCAACCCTATTTTCATGATTCACATCATCTTTGAAATCAGACCATGGAACATGCACGACTTCTGTACCAACAAGTAATGATCCTCTGTGGTCTCCCTCATGACTTGAGGAAGAACCGCCACTAATTGTCCAACCAAAACTACCATTCCTTGACATTGAGAAGGAACTCAAGGACTTGATCCTAGTGGGCTTTGGGTTATGAACTTTGAGCTTTTCAATCACTACAACATTGGATTTGGTCTTGTTTTTTTGCTTTTTGTTGTTGCTCCTTCTCTTCTTTGTTTCTTTTAGGTGAGGATCCGATATTTTTTTGTGGGTATTCGGGTCGGTTCCTTGGCTTAAGAGCCTTTTGCTGAGATGGGTGTTCCAATAGTTCTTAATCTCGTTATCAGTTCGACCCGGTAGTCTTCCCGCGATAAGAGACCATCGGTTGCCAAGAAGAGCATGCATTTTGATAATTAGGTCATCCTCATCAGGGGAGATGTTCCCTCTCTTGATATCAGGTCTTAGATAGTTCATCCATCTTAGCCTGCAACTCTTTCCGCATCTTAGTAGACCTTCATGCACCAATAAGAGAGAGAGAAAAAAAAAAGTCCATATATAAGTCATATTGAAATATATGTCTCTAAACATGACTCTAAAAAAAACCCACAAAGCAACTATATATTTGTACATATATAATATATATGCATGTCAAGGGCAGTTTGTCCAACACTGTTGTATTGTTAACCCTCACTCGTAATCTAAGTGGTTTGGCCCACTTAAGCCTCATTTGGAAAGTGATAATTTCAGTTAAAAAGTCATTAAAAAAATTAAAAAGTCAACAACTTATATTAAAAAGTCAAATATTCTTTTTTTTCTTTACTTTTTATACATTTTTTTTATAAAAAATCGAAAAATCATTCCAAACATACTATTTTTTTTACATTATATTTTAACCAAAAAGTCAAAAAGTTAATTATTCATATTATCAAAGGGAAATTGTATGTAAGTGAGAGAAGGGAAAAAAAAATACCAACACATGAGAGGTGGAAAAGTTGGCACCTCACGTGTTGGTTATTTTTTTTTTTTCTCCTTCTCTCACCTTCATGTAGTTCCTCCTATAATCAACACGCTCTTTTATGTGGGTGTTTGGGAAGTAGATTTTTTTGTAGGTTTTTTAGTTGTAGGATATTATTGGAGAAATTTTGTTTTGTGTTTAGAAAGATAGTTAGGTTTCTTTATGATTGGATGTGATGTTTGTGAGAAAAAAAAAATAAAATGATTACGGGATTTGATGTGATATGTTGTTTAGATTTTTTTTTTTTTTTTGTAACCAATTTGTCTTTTAGTGAAAAAAAACTAAAAAACTAAAAAAAAAAAACCAAAAAACCAATTTGTTTTTTTTGTAGTACGGTTTTTTTTCTAAGTGAGAAACACTTACAATTATTATAATTATTGAACAATTGTGAAATTTGAGCCCAAAATTTACTACTTGTTCTGATACCATATTAATTTTTTTTTTAATTTTTTTTTTATCATGACTTAATTAAAAAATTTAAGTTATTAGAAAGATGAACAACTTAATTATTTATATCCTTGACAAACAATAGGACTAGCTGATAGAGTTTCTGGTGAGAAAAGTTCAAATTACGAATATAAATAAACTCCCCGAAATGAGAGTAAGGCTGCATACTCTAAACCATACATTGGTGTGCTAGCTAAACCCTACTTTAGGGTGAAAATTAACTCGACTTTTGTTTTGTTTTTCTTTTTTTTTAATGATATTAAGACTAGCTTGAAATGAAAAAAGAGAAGAAAAGCAAGCTAGAAAGAATGGTGTTAGTGAGTGAATTACCAGCTTTTTTAGGCAAAGATCTCCAATTGCCTTCACCATGAAGCTGAATATACTTGGTGAGCAATGCATCCTCTCTAGCAGTCCATGGACCTCTATGCAACCCAACCTTGGAACAACATGGAGCCCTTCCCATCTCTTTTATTATTCACTTTCTAATTTCTCCGTCTTTGTCGTCAAACGAGATATCAACCGATCAGCTATGCCAGAGCGGGCGGCTATGCTGGCCGGAGAAAGATTGACAGAGAGAATTAGAGAAGGAGAGAGAGAGAGAGAGAGAGAGAGAGGGAGAGAGAGAAGATTCTGATGATGAAGTTATGATGCTCTGAGGGGAGCACAAGACTAACACAAACATGTTACCCTTTTTAAACCATGGCTATTTAAACAGTGTTTAATACAATGATTGTTTTTTCTTGAAAAAACAAAGATGCGCGGGGTAGAGTTTTAGAATTATAATTTGATAATAGATTGTATTTTGAGTTTGTGAGTATTTAAATTATGATTTAAATGTGAAAAAATTATTTGGTTATGAGTTTTAAAAAGAGTTTAAATTGAGTGATGTGACCTATATTATTGAAAAGTGAATGTTTTGAAAAGTATTTTGAAAAGTAAGTGTGAAATTAATTTTTTAAAACTGCAACCAAACAACACACTTAAACTAAGAGATAGAATTACATTTCAAAAATTTTACCAAACAGAGCAAAAAATAAAAAAGTAATAGAAAAAAGAGGCCACGTATGGGTTTACTACTTGTAGGGAGCATGTGAGTTTTTTGAGCCATCATGTGCGTGGTGCAGGTGCCTATCCACCCTTCTTACTATCTGCCCTTCTCCTTTCCTTCATAAAATAATAATAATAATAATAATTATTATTATTATTAAAAATTATATTTTAAAGAAATTACATGCATTATTTAGGACCAGGGCAATTACTTATATAGGTTGTTTGGTATAATTTATTTAATTTTTTTTATATATTTTCATTTTGAGAGTCTTTACCAAATTATTTAGTGTAATTTCTACTTATAACTTATATTAGGTAGAAATAACTTAAAATCAATACAAAAATCCTCGTAATTTCACCCACAATGTCATGAAATGATAAGTGTCAACTTTTAATTTGTCGCATACTCAATTAAGTAATATTCTACTTCCTTGCCACATCAAGTGGGGCTTTACTTCCTTACTATATCATTATGGGTAAATTTGAGAGTCTCAAATGTAGGTCTCTAGCATTACTCGTTACGATTTTTTTATTAGGAAAATTACAAATTAGGTGTACTTTTTAAAAATAATTATATATACATGGAAAAATTTATGAATTAAATAATTAAAGTTTATAAACTTATCATTAATTGAAAAACAATTTCAACAGCTACACTAATTTGTTAATTTTCCTTTTTTTTATTATTTATTTATTAAGGATGGACTTCTCTCAAATTTAAACTGGAGTTTTACAAAACTTGAGGTGTATCTTTGACTTTTGTGTATAATTTGTTGGATTTTTAATTTTTTTTAATAATTTTTTGACTTTTAAGTTAAAAAGTGATATTGTCAAACTAAACTTGAAAATTTACTTTTTAAAAAGTTTTACATTGACTTTTTAAAAAATTTTACCAACTTGTTATAAAATGACGTACAAAAAAATAGAAAAATGAAATGACTTGTTTTTTTTTTTTGTGATCTGCAAAGAAAATCTTTATTGATAAAATCAACAAGGAGTGAAAGATTACATCAATAAAGAAGAGTTTGAGGCTAAAAAGCACCAAGGGCCAGTTGGTCAGTAACTAACAAAAGAGAGGAAGAAAAAAGACTACAACAGAAGCAAAACACCCAGAAATAAATACACAGCAGCAGCCAAGCTTTGCTTTCCAAAAATTGACAGCAGCAGCCTCAGTTGAGAAGCTTTGCTTTCCAAAAGCAGCAGATCACAGAAGCAAAATCACAGAAGTTATAACCCATTACTAGTTTAAAGCAATAAACTAGCCAGATGATCACAGAAACAGAATCCTCAAACATAATCCTCAGCAGTTTTAACTCTATTTTGCCTTCCCTATCTGATGGAAACAAAAAACCAGCCTTATTAGTTCTGGGGCAGAAACAGAATCCTCAAGCAGATGCAGAATAAGTACACCAGCCACACAACTATAGCACACCAGCCATACTATCCAACCATGGCCCTCATCACACACCACACAACTACAGCAGAACCCCTAACAGAGCAGACCAGACAATTCAGAAAATGAAAAGACTTTTGTAATTACTTTTTAACTAACATATTGGTTTGGCTCATTTGGCAACAACGGAAATAAGTTGCATACTAACTTATTTAGGTCATATCATTTTTTTATATATCTTTTTATAATAAATAAATAAGTCATAACAAAAATAACCCAAAATAGACTTAAATCACAACCATTATTCTGTAGTCAATAAAGGGAAAATTATAAAATATGAGGTGTTTGGAAAGCCACTTTTTGGAATTTTTGGGTTAAAATACAAAAATAAGCTAGAATAATTAATAAAATAAAATATCACATCAAATATATAATTATTTAACTTTTTCTTTCGCAAATATTATATCTAATTACAAAAAATCTAATATTTTTCTCAAATATAATTATTACAATATACTAAAATATTCAAAAATTAAAATAGGCAACTTTCTAAATACAGGGACCAAACCAATACGGGGACCAAACCAAAGTAATTAAAAGCGGCATACAAGTGGCTTACAACCAAATGATCACCACCGTTGATTTTTTGTGGCTGCAAAACACGTTTTGAAAACAAAAATGAGTGGGATCACTAAAAAGAGGAACACTAATAGCTCTAAAATGGTGTGAGTCTCACATAATGGGATGTTTTGCTCTTGTGTTTTTTTTTTTTTTGAATTTCTACCTCATTAGTGATCCATTAGTGCTCCTAAATTAGTGGGATGAATCATTGTTGTTTTCAAAAACTCAAATTGTATACGAATTGATCGCTTTCACCATTTCTGTCATTTTTTTTTTCTTTTTTTAGGAATTATTCAGTTTCAAAAATTTTAATTAGACTGTGTGTCTATAAGATAATAGTTATTATTTTATATAATAATATTGAAAAAAATAGAAAATAGTGAATACATAACTAATAAAATTATAAAACATATCACGTAGAATGTAGAACGGAATCTTAATTTTTTTATTTTGTGAAAATGAAAGTTCACTCTCTCGTGCAAAATTTTTAATTCCTTGACCAATAATTGGCCTCGCGTGCTGGGACAATTATTCAAATTTTATTTTAAACACTCATTTTTTAATTAAAATAATTAAGTTTTTAAATTTCAATCCTTATTTTAATGACCATGTTAGGTTTTCTTTAAAAAAAATATTATTTTTTTTCCTGAAAAAAAAAAATTGAAACTAATTTTATAAAAATAAATATCAACAAGATATTTTTAAAAATTTTAAAAAGTATTTATAACCTTTCAAAAGATAAAATTATACAAAAATGATACTTAGTGTTTTGATTTTTTTTTTTAGATTTCTTTCACCAAATTAATTTTTATTTTTTTAAAAAAAAAATTCTAAAACAAAATTTTAAAAATCAAATCAAATGTGGCCAATGTAATCCTCCCATTACTCACCATTAAGAAAATTGACATAAAATGCTGATGTGATGATTGTGTGAACAAAAACATATTTTATGATGAGTTGATAGTTTCCGCTTATAATATAATATATTCGTTTAAAATAAGAATTCTACTATTTAAATTAAATTAAAAGTGTATTTTGTTTACACATTTTTATGTGTATAAACAAAATTGGCCTCTACATGGAGTAATTGATATTAGGAAAAGATGTGTCCTCCCGGATGAATTTAACAATTTTTTAAAGAAAAAATTACACATTAGTGATATTTTTTTAAAAATAATTACTAATTCATGAAACAATTTATGACTTTCATCATTAAAATTTATAAACTGTACCATTTGTTTGAAGTTATTTTTACATACATTGAATTGTTTTTTTTCTCTTTTTTAATCTCCCATTCACACGACCAATGACATGTGTAAATATATAATTCATCATATCTAAAAAATAATAGTAAAATTAATTACAAATTATATTAAGAGTAATGTTATATACACCAATTAGTACATTAACCAGTGTACCAATTGATGATGTGACATAATTTAAAATATTTTTGATATTTATAATTTGGATAATGACCGGAGTCAATAATAATATCATAACTAGTATTGATACACTAGTTAGTACGCTAATTGATATATGTAATACTATTTTTATATTAAACTGGACAATTATAATCTAACAATACATTTTTAACTGCAACAATGGTCACACATAAATTCATGATGACTAGAAATAAACAACTTAATTAATACAACCCTTATAATTAGTGATAAATAAGCAATCTAAGCATTTAATATGCTTGACCTCTGGCCTCCAAAGTACAACTGTACACGATTTGGTTTAGAAAATAATGAGATTAAAAGTGAACTACGCTAACAGTCTCTATAGTTTAGTATTTACATTATTTTAGTTATTAATTTTTTAATTGTGACACATTTGATCTTAAATTTTGAATCTTATTCTAAATAAGGACAATTGAAGATGCAATTGCTTAATTTCAAAGGCAAAATCATCAATTTAATAAAATATAAACTAATTTGACAAAAAATTGATGAGAAAATGAATCTTATTCAACTTAACAAAAATATCTTCTAAGACAGTGATATTTATATACAACCATTAGTAACTCTAGTAACTAAACTAACTAAGGTACAGTTAACACAACAACTTCTTAACTAACAAACCACTACATGTAAACAACTGCACTATGACCTACAGCAGCTCTAACTGATTTGGTGAGATGTAGTTGCGGTTTCAACTGTAGCTTTGCCTTGGTCAGCTCACATGAGCTAGTATGTGTGGACTGAGCTTCTTTTGCAGATGTGTGCTGAGCTTCTGCAGCTTCTGCAGATACATTATCATGGCCCCTCAAGCTGATGGGAGAGGAAAAAACCATAAGCTTGGATTGGAGGTAATTAAAGCGGGAAATAAACAGAGGCTTGGTGAAAAAATCTGCCACCTGATCAGAAGTAGGGATATGACAAATGGTGAGCTGTTTAGCAGCTACCTTTTTTCTGACATAGTGATAATCGACCTCTATGTGTTTGGTTTTGGCATGAAAAACAGGATTTGAAGACAGAGAGATAACAGAGATATTATCACACCACAATGTAGGAGAAGAACAAGGAACATGCAGGTCAGAAAGAAGCATACCAAGCCAGCTTAACTTAGTAGCAGTGTGAGCCAATGCCCTATACTCAACTTCAATAGAGGATCTAGCCATAGAAGGCTGTTTTTTAGCAGACCATGACACCAAATTTGGATCAAGAAAAACACAAAACCCAGTAGTTGATCTTCTATCTAGAGAATTTAGTCCAATCAGAGTCTGAAAAAGCATGCAGTGTAAAAGGACTAGGACTAAATTGAAGACCATAACCAAGGGTGCCTTTCAGATATCTGAGAAGCCTTTTGACCATCACAAAATGTCGAACAAGTGGTTGGTGCATAAATTGACAAGCAAAATTCATAGCAAAAGCAAGATCTAGTCTGGTGATGGTGAGGTATTGAAGACCTCCAACAATACTTCTGTAGAGAGAAGAATTGGAACAAGGTAAATTATCATTGGGAGAAGAGGGAGTAGATTTAAGAGCCATTCTTGTAACAATTTGTAAACACTAGTCAGTAATACAAATAAAATAATAATATTTATTTATACAAAATGATACGAAAAATTTATATCTATATTCATTAAAAAAAAAACTCATCAAAGTGGTTTATTATTTCAAATGTGCCATTTTCATATCATTCATAGATATTTTTTGTATAAAATTTTTACTTGCAACTCATTTTTCATAATTCTAAAAATACCATTCTAAAATAGAGTCAGTAGCAACGTGACACAAAAGAAATTCGTAGTCCAAAATCTCCAAAGAAAGATTAGTCGAGATTTTAATATCTTCGAAACAGTCCAGCAGGTTTAGTACTTAGAGATGACATTGAAAGGTTCTCAGATAACATTGAAAGGCTCTCCGAATTGAGAGCAAGATGTCTAGATAGAGAGACAGTTTTCAAAGAGCTCGAGATGATGTATGCTAATTATTACCATGTAAAATAATATATGTCCAGAAGAATTATCGTAAAAATATATTTATGGATCATATTCATTTTAAATATAACTTACATTACATCAATTCTAAATTTACGCCATCTATCTCTCTTTTAAAAGAACTTTTAAGATAAAAAAATTCTAAGTAGATAGCATTTTTCTATATAAATAACCGTCTATTCCACGTATTACAATTTACTATTAAGCCACTATTGTTACAACATTAATACATTATTATCATCACATATTAACCATGGTTCCAAACTAAGTTGATGAGGAAGGTAAGCTTGTGAAAGCTAAGGTTCATACATTTCCTCTTCATAACATTAAAAACTATTATTAGTTTGTTTTTTTGGTGCATATCCAAGATTCTAAATATCGGCCGGTACGTGCCATACCGGCTTGTTCGTACTGGAAAATTAGAGTCTCGAATCGGATACTCACCGGTATACCGGTGAGAATGAATTTCGCGTCCGTAGCGGTCTGAATCCGATACGTGAGCAATACAGTTCCGATACCGGTATAGAAATGAAGTGAAGCACCTGCAAAAATAATTGAGCAAAGGTTTGTTCTCTTACCGATTTCAAGCTTCTTCGTTGAAAGTTTGTTCTCTGAGAGCTACACTGCTCTGTTTTGAGGCTGTTTGTATGGACTTTGGAGAACTTCACTAAGAAAAGGTTTGTTCTGTGGATGAATTTATATGATCACCTATAGACTCAATTACAAAGGTTTGTATGATCAAAGGTGAATTTATATGATCACCTATGATCACCTATTGAGCAAAGGTTTGTCAGAGAAATTCTATTTGTAACTACAAGACTCTATAGGGTGAATTTACGTTGATTAAGTCTGTTTGTAATTGAACAAAGGTTTGTTCTCTGAGAACTTCTCTCACACTCTGTTTGTATTTGTCATGCTTTGTTTTTTCTTTTGGCTGAAGAAGTGATGCTTTTGCTTGTTAAGTTGTTGTGTTCGGTTTATAATTTTTTTTTTCCTATGGTTATTTTTTTATTTATATTATGGTATGGGATGAGAATGGGATATATTTTAATATATATTTATGATTGTTTAAATATTTATGTATATATTTGGAGTATTTATATATATTGAAGCAAAGCTCTGCAGATCCCCCATCAACCTTTATATTTGATGTCCCACTTTGTTTTTCTATTTTAGTCTCCTATGTGTTGATTAGTTTCTTTGCAGAGTCCAACATTATATGCACCGAATTCTAAATCATATTTTTCCCATGTAATCATTTTGTTTGAAAAATTATCTAACATTATGATGAGAGGTGGAGGTTAGTATTGTATTAGTACCAAATAAAAACTTGAGACTAAAATAAATACATATCATTTAGTTGAAAATGAGTCAAAAGTATCTTTACATATCAAAACTTTGATTAAAATGTGATAAATTCAGGCTAAAGGAGTCCAAAAAATGCATAAAATTGAGTTTCAGATGGATTGTTAATGATTTTTGAAATTTCACAGTTGCGACGCTTGATACCTGATACGTACTGATCGATACTACCGATACCGATACTCCGCGATCGATACCGTTACGGTGATTTAGACCTTTGTTCATATCAGCAAAGATTCAGCAAAGGAATCCAACTGAACTTGGACATCATCTTCTGCCTTGAGAAGTTGTAGGTACTCCTCATAGAGCTTCTCTAGAGTGTGATCAGACATTGGCAACAATTGAGAATGGCATTCGAGGTCCGAACCGTTGACTAGATCGCGATCTTGATGATCATCACCAACAAGAAAGCCAACCCTATTTTCATGATTCACATCATCTTTGAAATCAGACCATGGAACATGCACGACTTCTGTACCAACAAGTAATGATCCTCTGTGGTCTCCCTCATGACTTGAGGAAGAACCGCCACTAATTGTCCAACCAAAACTACCATTCCTTGACATTGAGAAGGAACTCAAGGACTTGATCCTAGTGGGCTTTGGGTTATGAACTTTGAGCTTTTCAATCACTACAACATTGGATTTGGACTTGTTTTTTTGCTTTTTGCTGTTGCTCCTTCTCTTCTTTGGTTCTTTTAGGTGAGGATCTGATATTTTTTTGTGGGTATTCGGGTCGGTTCCTTGGCTTAAGAGTCTTTTGCTGAGATGGGTGTTCCAATAGTTCTTAATCTCGTTATCAGTTCGACCCGGTAGTCTTCCTGCGATAAGAGACCATCGGTTGCCAAGAAGAGCATGCATTTTGATAATTAGGTCATCCTCATCAGGGGAGATGTTCCCTCTCTTGATATCAGGTCTTAGATAGTTCATCCATCTTAGCCTGCAACTCTTTCCACATCTTAGTAGACCTTCGTGCACCAATAAGAGAGAGAGAAAAAAGAGTCTATATATAAGTCATATTGAAATACGTGTCTCTAAACATGACTCTAAAAAAAACCCACAAAGCAACTATATATTTGTACATATATAATATATATGCATGTCAAGGGCAGTTTGTCAACACTGTTGTATTGTTAACCCTCACTCATAATCTAAAAGCTCAAGTGGTTTGGCCCATTTAAACATCATCTAGAAAGTGATAATTTTAGTTAAAAAGTTATTAAAAAAATTAAAAAATCAATAACTTATATTAAAAAGTCAAAATTTTATTTTTTTTCCTACTTTTTGTATATCTTTTTGTAAGAAATCAAAAACTATCCCAAACATATTAATTTTGTTTATCTCATATTTAAGTCAAAATATCAAAAAATTATTAAAATAATGTATTCCCAAATGAGAAATAAGTGGACAATTTTTCTCTTTCATTAATTTAATAAAGTAATCCCATTACTACAATGTAAACTCTCTCATTAAATAATAATATTATCACATAATATTACAATTATACCTAATATAAATCCGACAAGAGGAAGAGTTTCCAATCCATAGTATTTTTCTTGTAATTTTGAAAAGCAAAAACCTAACACAAGTCCTACACAACCTAACCTTATGAACTTCCAATTCATATCCTTCTTTTGAGATTAGATCAACTTAGATGGCTAAGGATAAGATAAATAACTTTTACTCTATATATATAAATGTCAACTTTTAGCATGACTTACCCAAGTAACATGCATTTCAATTACTTGCCTCTTTTTATTTTATGTTTGAATTTCATTTTTGAAAGCCGATATCATATAATTTTGTCTCATTTTGATTAATATTATTATTATCTCAGTTGTTGAGATCTTAAATTCGACTCTCTTAGAAATAAATGTTAGTGTTGTTATTGTGATTGATACGACATGCATTATTCATACATAATTGAATATCCAATTTGATATAATTTTCATAATTTTTACTAAAAAACATTTTAAATCTTTTTTATCGGAAAAGTTTGTGATGAAATAAACTAATAAAAAAGAAAGTTGTTGATGATGGCATTTTGGGTGGATGATAAGACCATCATTGAATTTCGAAATTATGAGAGGGAAAAATATTCCCAAGTTGGACAAGAGTACAAGCTCATATCATTTTCTTTTGTAAAAGCAATGCAGTATTCATGGCTCCAAGAAATTCAAAGATAGGAAAACAGAGAATTATCAAATGATTGAGGAATTGAAATTTTATAGTTGTCATCATCTTCTTAGCCTTCAAATGCAGGGCACAACTCACCATTTTAGAAATCCATTGTCAAATTAGTCGTATATTGGGGCTTGTGGTCCCACAGTTTAAGGGATACTGCTTTTCATGCTACCAATCTGTGTGTTATGTTCATTTGTAGGCTATATAATTTAAAAGTATAATTTACTATTTAAAAATTCCAAGTTTTGTTTGGTTGTGGTTCAAAATTCAATTTATTGGTTAATTAAATCTTAACGTTTTTGGCAAATTCATTTTTCACCAAAAGACTTATTTTAACTCATTTTAAAAATTATTAAAAAAGAGTCAAATTTAAGAATATGCTAATTCGTTTGGAATTTTTTTTTAACCTGACTTTTTAATTTTTTGACTAATTTCTGTCTGAAAAGAATTTTTTTATTTTTTTGGTTTTTTGCGAGAAAAAAATTGAAATGATTATGATTTGAATGTGACATTTTATTTTATTGGTTTATATATTTAAACTAGTTTGATAAAAATAAATGTCAAAAAATTATTTTTGGATGATGATCATATAATGGGTAGTTGTTTTTGTTGATATTTTTGAATGGTTATCATGTAATAGATAGGAATAATGTTAGGAATATCAAATTTTCTACCAAACAAATGACTAAATATCTCACATGGAGTTCACAATTTTGTGGACCCCACACCCATATGAGACATTTAGTCATTTGTTGGTAGAAAATTTGAGACTTATAACATTTTCTATTTTAAAAATATAGAAACTAATTTAATGAAAATAAATATTAAAAAAATTATTTATACCCTCCCAAAAGATAAAATTATATAAAAATGATATGTTTTTAATTTTTTTTCACCAATTTAATTTTTATATTCTTAGAAAAAATTTCTGAAAATAGATTTTGAAAACCAAACTAAACAGAACTTTATAACTAAGAAAGTTTCAACATTATTCATTAAAAATAATGTCATTACATTTCAAACAACCTACAAATTAATCAATACAAAATAAGTTGTATGACGACTTTGTCCTTAAAATAGACCGTTTGCAAAGGAAGCATTTTTAATTGTCCTTATTTTGAATAAAATTTAACATTCAAGGTTTGAAAAGTTAAAAACTAAAATGGCACAAACTCCACACTGCAAAGACTGATAATGTAATTTATCCTAAATAATAATAATAATTTGAAGCACCCCTCCAATAAAAAATTAAACGACGGTTCGAAGTGCAGTTCGAAGGTCATCACTGACAAGTATAAAGAGCAGGGCAGCCCCCAGAAAAGAGGACGGACTCAGATCATACAAACCAGTCATTTACTTCATATATTTTCTTTTCCAGTCATTTACATTTCCAGTCTTTAAATACCTGTTCTTTAAATACCTGCACTTTAAATACCAACACTGCACTTCGATTCATAGGAGTAGCTTCAAGTAGATTCAAGTAGATTGCTGTTGTAAACCTCTTTGAGGCTGAGTTCGGACCATTGTAAGTGTTCATTTTTATGAAATACTTCAATTGTTCTTCATATTACTGTTATTTTCTATTAACTTCTCCTAAATCAAGCCACCAGTAAAAGTCCTCTTCATTGAGGCTGAAAAGAACTAAAACACAATCGTCTGATAATTGGTTGGCAATCACAATTTCTGTAAGGACTGATTGATCCTTGCTGGCACGCTCACATTTACAAAAATACCCTTCGAAAAGCCAAAAAGCCAACAAGTAACCTCAGTTGAGAAGCTTTGCTTTCCAAAAGCAGCAGATCACAGACGCAAAATCATAGAAGTTATAACCCATTACTAGTTCAAAACAATGAATCAGCCAGATGATCACAGGAACAGAATTCTCAAACATAATCCTCAGCAGTTTTAACTCTATTTTGCCTTCCCTATCTGATGGAAACAAATAACCAGCCTTACTAGTTCTGGGACAGAAGCAGAATCCTCAAGCAGATGCAGAATAGGTACACCAGCCACACAACTATAGCACACTAGCCATATTATCCAACCATGGCCCTCATCACACAACTATAGCACACACCACACAACTACAGCAGAACCCCTAACAGAGCAGACCAGGCAATTCAGAAAATGAAAAGACTTTTGTAATAACTTTTTAACTAACATATTGGTTTGGCTCATTTGGCAACATCGGAAATTAGTTGCATACTAACTTATTTAGGTCATATCATTTTTTTATATTTTTATATATCTTTTTATAATAAATAAATAAGTCATAACAAAAACAACCCAAAATAGACTTAAATCACAACCATAATTCTGTAGTCAATAAATGGAAAATTATAAAATATAAGGTGTTTGGAAAGCCACTTTTTGGAATTTTTGGGTTAAAATACAAAATAAGTTAGAATAATTAATAAAATAAAATATCACATCAAATACATAATTATTTAACTTTTTCTTTCACAAATATCATATCTAATTACAAAAAAATCTAACATTTTTCTCAAATATAATTATTACAATATACTAAAATATTCAAAAATTAAAATAATCAACTTTACAAATACGGGGACCAAACCAATACGGGGACCAAACCAAAGTAATTAAAAGCGACATACAAGTGGCTTACAACCAAATGATCACCACCGTTGATTTTGTGGCTGCAAAACACGTTTTGAAAACAAAAATGAGTGAGACCACTAAAAAAAGAAACATTAATAGCTTTAAAGTGGTGTGGATCTCCCATGATGGGATGTTTTGCTCTTGTGTTTTTTTTTTTTTAAATTTTCACCTCATTAGTGATCCATTAGTACTCCCAAATTAGTGGGATGAATCATTATTGTTTTCAAAAACTCAAATATTATACGAATCAATCACTTTCACCATTTCCTGTCATTTTTTTTTCTTTTTATAGGAATTATTCAGTTTCAAAAATTTTAATTAGACTGTTTGTCTATAAGATAATAGAAATTATTTTATATAATAATATTGAAAAAAATAGAAAATAGTGAATACATAACTAATAAAATTATAAAACATATCACGTAGAGTAGAATATAGAACGGAATCTTAATTTTTTTATTTTTCAAAATGAAAGTTCACTCTCTCGTGCAAAATTTTTAATTCCTTGACCAATAATTGGCCTCGCGTGCTGGGACAATTATTCAAATTTTATTTTAAACTCTCATTTTTTAATTAAAATAATTAAGTTTTTAAATTTCAATCCTTATTTTAATGGCCATGTTAGGTTTTCTTTAAAAAAAATATTATTTTTTTTCCTGAAAAAAAAATTGAAACTAATTTTATAAAATTAAATATCAACAAGATATTTTTAAATTTTTAAAAAGTATTTATAACCTTTCAAAAGATAAAATTATACAAAAATGATACTTAGTGTTTTGATTTTTTTTTAAAATTTCTTTCACCAAATTATTTTTTATTTTTTTAAAATAAATTCTAAAACAAAATTTTAAAAATCAAATCAAATGTGGCCAATGTAATCCTCCCATTACTCACCATTAAGAAAATTGACATAAAATGCTGATGTGATGATTGTGTGTGAATAAAAACATATTTTAGGATGAGTTGATAGTTTCTGCTTATAATATAATTAGAGATAATCCGTGCCTGAAGGCACAGACAACAATTTTTTTAATATCACGTGCTACGAAACTTAGTGGTAATAAATCAATTCAAAATGATAATATTACTCAGATTTAAAACTTTACCTATAAGAAACTGAAATTGTTTTTACACATTGAATTAACGAAAACATTTATGAATTTCAAATAACAAATTTTAAAATTAAAGTCC